GAGAGAGAGAGAGAGAGAGAGAGAGAGTAGTTGAAAAGTGAAGTAGAGAGAGAGAATGGGCTAATCTGCAGTACATTGAAGCTGGGGTTTGGTGTGAACAGCGTCTGTTGGTCAAGAACTTTGGCTTGTTTGGTATGGGACTTCGATCTATTGTGCGAAAATTTCTTCACGAGAAAGAGTTTTTCTTGATGTTTCTGTTTATACCCATTTTGATTTTTTTTTTACAAAGCTTAGTAGTCATCGTTTGTTCCTCTTGTTCTTATATGTACCCTTTTTGTTTTTACGCATTTTGATCCAAATTTCTTGATGAAAGTCGCTTCCTTTCTGTTTATGTCCACACCCCATCTGGCTTTTCATGAAATCTGATTCAATTACTTGAGGAAAAACCCATTATTTTCCAGTTTCTTAGACACCCATTTCACCCCTCTGGTAATTTGATTGAAGTGCTCTGATCTACGTTTTCTCGCAGTGGCTGAATGGTGTTTCGCTTCCTAGCGTGGGGAAGATTTTTCTTCTGCTGTTTCTACTGATCCCTTTCTTTTCTGTTGCTATGATCCGATATGTTCGGTGATTGAAGAATCTGAATCTGAATTTGCAATTTCATTTGCTAAAGTTTGCCTTTTTTTTTTGTCGCTTTGATCTGAAAGGGTACCTCTTTTACCAGTTTTGGTTTGTAAATGTCATCTATTACATTGATTTACCTTTAGCTTCTTTGGATCATCATCATTCTTTCTACGTTGCTTATATTCACCCTTATTAGTGCCTGATATCTTGATTTCTTACTCAGTGTACTCCACTTTTCTGCTGTTTTTCCCCCTGAAATGTAATATTTCCACCAATGGGCTTCGGCTGAATGGTGGCTAGGTCATAATTTCCATTGCTTTTAGGTGAGGTCCTTGTTAATGTTACACGTGAAAATCTACTGGCTTTGTGACGAGGAACATAAAGTTAGACTCTTTATCTTTTCTGTGTAAGAAAAAGAAGATTTCAGCACTCTACCACTGATGTTTGTTTCTCTGCCTCTGTTCTCTTGATTCAGTTTTGGTCTGCCTCTATGAACATAGAATCTCTCTTTGCCTACAGGATTGAAAAAGATGTTGCACTTTATCATTCATAAGGGCAGCACCAGCCTTTGGTACAAAACCCACAAATTGCTTCTTCAGTTTGAGTAGAGGTTTGTTTGCTTCTGCTAACTTTCAACAGCTTTATCTCAGTGATGTCTGTGAAGAAATATGATCTAAATCTTTTACCAAGCTGCATTTCTGGATTTACTCAAAGGGTAACGTTATCTTGGTTTTGTAGGTGAAAGTCCTGAGGCAGAGAGATTGAGGAACTCTTAAATTAGGGGGTGAGGGGGGAAGTATATAGCTATTTGATTCTGGCTTGGAACCATTATCTGTGGAGAGAAGGGGGCCACCATCATTGGTTGAAGTCCAAACCGATATTTCTGTTACTTGCAGCCGGTGTCATGGCCACTGTGTTGCATTCAGAGTCAAGGCGCTTGTACTCCTGGTGGTGGGATAGTCACATCCCCAAGAACTCAAAATGGCTTCAGGATAATCTTTCGGGTAAATTCTCTCTACCTTCTTGAAAATTTTCGGGTTTCTCTTGAACCCTGGAAAACATTGATTATTGCTTAGAATTTGTTTTGATAATTGGCAGTGTTTTTGGTCTTTTGTTTCTTGGCTGGACGTTTATTTACCGGGAAGTTCTATTTCATTGAGCAGATATGGATACCAAAGTCAAATCAATGATCAAGCTCATTGAAGAAGATGCGGATTCTTTTGCAAGGAGAGCGGAAATGTACTACAAGAAACGCCCAGAGCTCATGAAACTGGTGGAAGAGTTCTACAGAGCTTATCGTGCATTGGCCGAGAGGTATGATCATGCAACTGTCGAGCTTCGCCATGCACACAAAACCATGACGGAGGCATTCCCGAACCAATTTCCTTTTGAAATGAGCGATGATTCTGCATCAGTTTCTTCCGAGCCACCGCAAGATCATCCATTTTATGAATCCGAAGACCTGCAAAAGGATGGTAGTAGTACGGCTAAAAGGGGCTTAAGGCAGGTGAATGAGCTATTTGGGAATCCTGATGCTATTAAATCCGATACAGAAGTTGAAGCCTTGAAGAAAACTTTAATGGAGCTTCGGGCTGAGAAAGAGGCTTTGAATCTTCAGTATCAGCTCAGTTTGAACAAGCTATCTAGACTGGAACAAGACCTTGACAATGCTCAAAATGATGCTAAAGGACTCGATGATCGTGCTACCAAAGCCGAATTTGAAATTAAGATGCTGAAAGAAGACTTTGCAAAATTAGAAGCAGAGAGGGATGATGAGCTTCTTCAGTATAATCAATTGACGGAGAGAATAGCAGAGCTGGAATTTTCGATTTCCCAAGCACAAGAAGATGCCAAGAGGCTCGCTGACCGTGCTTCTAAAGCAGAAACGGAAGCCGAGAGTCTCAAGCAAGAGCTTTCTAGATTGCATGCTGAGAAGGAAGCTGGGTTAGCCCGATACAAGCAATGCTTGGAGACAATATCTACTCTAGAGAATGAAATCAGAAATTCTGAGGAGATTGCCCGGATGTACAAAAATCAATCTGAAAGGGCAGAGAATGAAATCAAAGAACTGAAACAAGAAGTTATGAAGTTGAATGAAGAAAGGGAAGAGTTGAATATTCGGTACCAGCAGTACTTGGAGACAATATCAAAGCTGGAGAGCGAACTTTCTCATGCTCATGAAAATGCCAAAAGACTGAGCAGTGAAGTTCTTGCTGGAGCTGCGAGATTAAAGACTGTGGAAGATCAGTGTGCTTTTCTGGAAAGCTCGAATCAAAATCTGAAGGAAGAAGCCAGCAATCTAATGCAAAAGATGGCAGCTAAGGATCAGGAACTTTCCGAAAAGCAAAATGGTCTTGAAAAGCTTCAGGCTTTACTCCAAGAGGAATTCTCTCGGTTATCAGAACTTGAAGCCAACCTTAGAAACCTGAAGAATTTGCATTCTCAGTCTCAAGAGGAACAAAAGGCTCTCACTTTAGAACTTCAAAGCAGGGTTCAGATGTTGAAGGATCTGGAAGTGTTCAATCATAAGTTGGAAGATGATCTCTGCTCGGTTAACGAAAAAAACCGAAACTTGAGTGAATTGAATAATTCTTCTACCGTCTCCCTGCAGATTCAGCAATATGAAATATCCAGTTTGAAAGAGATGAAAGAAAAGCTTGAGGAAGAAGTTGCAAGACAAATGAACCAAGGCAATACCCTTCAAAAAGAGGTCTATCATCTGAAGGATGAAATTGACAAACTGAATCGGAGATACAAGACATTGATGGAGCAAATTAGACTTGCGGGTTTGGATCCTGAATGCCTTGCTTCCTCTCTTAAGAAACTTCAAGACGAAAACTCGAAGCTGATCGAATTGTGCGACATCCAGAGAGGCGAGAAGGAAGCTCTGACAGAGAAGTTACATGAAATGGATGATATTTTACGGAAGAATGATTTTCTGGAGAAATCGCTATTGGAATCAAACACCAAACTGGAAAGCTCTAGGGAGAAAGCAAATGATCTGCAAGAACGATGTGAATCTTTACGGGAGGAGAAATCTGAGCTTGTTGCTGAGAGATCTAACTTTCTATCTCAGTTACAACTCATGGCTGAGAATATGCAAAAGCTCTTGGATAAGAACACCTTGTTGGAGAATTCTCTTTCTGGCGCAAACATTGAGCTTGAAGGTCTGAGGTCGAGATCAAAATGCTTTGAAGAATTCTTCCAGCTGCTCAAAAATGAAAAAGCCGAACTTCTGAAGGAAAGAGAATCTCTTGTCTCTCAAATGAAAAGGGTCGAGGAGAGGTTGGGAGTTTTGGAAATGAAATTTTCGGAATTGGAGGGGAAATGTGCTGATTTACAGAGGGAAAAACAGTTAACGAATTCTCAGGTGGAAGAATTGCATGTTTCATTAGCTGCCGAGAAGCAAGAACGCAATACTTATGAACGATCAATGGAGACCAGATTGGCTGATCTTCAGAAAAATGTGAGCTATCTTCGAGAAGAGTGCCGTTCCAGGAAGAAAGAGTATGAGGAAGAGCTTGACAGAGCTGTAAATGCTCAGGTTGAGATCTTCATCTTGCAAAAGTTTATAGAAGACTTGGAGCAGCAAAACTTCACTCTCCTGATCGAGTGCCAGAAATACGTCGAGGCATCTAAATTCTCGGAGAAACTTATTTCCGAGCTGGAAAGCGAGAATCTTGAGCAGCAGATGGAAGCAGAATTCTTGTTGGATGAGATTGACAACTTGAAGGGTGCTATCTATCAAGTGTTGAAGGCACTTCAACTCGAAGCAGATTACAAGCTTGCAGACCGTAAGATTTCGAAAGAAAGGATTCAAGTTTCGGGTATCGTCGGAGAGATAGATGACCTAAAGTATTCACTTTCTAGTACCGAAGATGAGATGCAGAGACTTGTAGTTGAGAACTCAGTGCTTTTATCTCTGCTTGGACGATTCCAGTCAGATGGTTTGCAATTGGAATCCAAGAAGAACACCCTCGAGAAGGATTTAGATATGATAATAGAGCAGCATGAATTGATGAAGAAAGACAAGCAAGAACTACTGGAAATGAACCAGAAGTTGAAATCGGAATTGATCAAGAACGAGCACCAGGAGCAAGAGCTAAGGGCTGAATTGTTAACTGAGCATGTAAAGGCTGAGAGCTTGCACAAAGCATACGAGGCTCTACAACAAGAGTATTCCAATGCCCTCGACAATAACGAAACTTTGCTTCAGAAGTTTTTGGAACTCAAGGGAGAAATGTGTATACTCGAGAAAGAAAATGTCGCAATTCTTCAGGAAGCTGTAGCTTTAAGCAGCACGTCAGTTGTTTACCAGTCTGTCGGGTCTGAAAGAGCTGAAAAAATCAAAGCGTTCGCTGAAAATATGGACAGTTTGCAAGAAATTAATGTGGGCCTCAGACACAAGATTGAAACAATGGAGGAGAATTTAAGAGGTAAAGCAGCAGCAGGTCAGAAGCTTAGCAAGAAACTGGAGAAGTTACAGGAAGGATTGCAAGAAGCAAATGAACTGAATAATGTCTTAGAACATCGAATTTCAGACAAAGATGAGATTTTCAGACAGAAGGTGGCGGAGCTCCTAGAAGCAGAACAGATCCTCAGAGCTACACATAAAGCAAATGTGGAATTGTCCGAAGCAGTTGAGGAACTGAAGAAGGAATGTGAAGAATCGAAGCGAATGAAGGAAAACTTACAGAGAGAGATTTCCCAACTTTCTGACCTAACCAGGACTCAGGAGGAAGAGATTAAAAAGCTTAACAATCTGAATGAGAATTTGGAATCTAAGGTAGAGATATTACACAAGGAAATCCAAGAACAACGTGTTCGAGAGGAGATTTTGAGTTTGGAGTTACAGGAGAAAAGCAATGAGTTTGGAATTTGGGAAGCCGAGGGTACATCTTTCTACTTTGATCTACAGATCTCAGCTGTCCGGGAAGTTTTGCTCGAGAACAAAGTTCATGAACTCACCAGAGTTTTCGAGAATCTCAAAGATGAAGCTGTTGCAAAGACCACTGAGATTGAACAGATGAAAGAAACAGTGGGGTTCTTGGAACGTGAAATCGATGAACTGAAGATCCAGTTATCGTCTTATGATCCAGTTGTTGCATCTCTGGCTGAAGATATAAAATCTCTCGAGAAAAGTGCACTTTCTTTGACAAAACTTTCAGGAACAGCCGATCAAAACGGACAGGTAACTTCTCTTATTCAACATGTTAGTCTTCTCAATCTTCTGTTCCTAGGATCTGTTACTGTCTTGTTCTGAAGCGATTTCTATGCTTTAAGATCTAAAACCATAGCTTTCCCCTCAGGGTCTCGAGCTCGAGCATGATGACCATTCGGAAGCAACAGTTTCCCGAGAATCTGAAGGGCAAAGGAATGCAACACCGGGAAATGGGATTGTGCTTCTGGAGGAGATTAAAGCAAGAATCAAAACCATTGAGAAGGCAGTTAAACAGAAAAGAAGAAGCTCCTCAAATAGAAGCAGAGGTCACAAGAAGATGGAAGAGATAGAACTCGAGAACAAGGTCTCTGATGAAATTAGAACACCGAGATCAAGAGCAGGGATGACTGAGATGAAAGGCGGATTATTGATGAAAGACATTCCTCTTGATCAAGTTGCAGATTCTTCGTTTCATGGAAGAAGTCGGGGGAATAGCCGTGGTTCCAATGATCAGATACTCGAGTTGTGGGAAGAATCTTCTGAACCAGAGGCCAGCATAAAGGCTCTCATCAACAATAACAACTCGAATAAACCAGAAAAATCCTGTCTCCATCACCGCAGGAGTAGGAATCCCTCTGGAGAATTACAGTCTGAGAAAGTGGTTGGAGTCGTTGACAAGCTAGAGTTATCCAGAAGCATTGAAGACACTGCAAAGATTCAGGAGAGACTTCTGTCTGATTCTCAGAAACTGACGAGTCTTCGGGTAAGCATTAGAGATCTAAAAAGCAAGCTTGAGATGAACGAGAAAGGCGGATTCAGTAGTAACCCGGATTATGCAAGAGTGAGGAAAGAGTTGAAAGAAATGGAAGAAGCTATCTTGCTACTGGTAAACACGACCGAGATTCTGTTAAAGGAAATGGAGGAGACAGTAGATGCTAGAGATATATACAGAAAGGTGGTAATGGAGAAATCGAAAAATGGGTCTGAGAAGATAGAGCAGTTGCAGTCCGAGATGAAGAACATCGAGCTGATGGTGCTGAAGCTTGAGGACAGATCCAAGAACAGGTCAAGTAAAAAGTTGTCAGAGAACCGGACAGTGATACTGTTGAGAGACATTATTCACAAGGGAGGCAAAAGAACTGCAAGGAAGAAGAAGAACAGGTTCTGTGGATGTATGAGATATTCAAGTAATGAAGATTAGGGTTGGCTAAATAACATAACAAGCATCTAATTTACTATCTAATAAGATCTCCATGGATGAGTCTGCAAGGCTGTTAGAGCAAGTACTCTCTAGCTTATGCTAATCTTTATGTATCTCAACTCATATTCAGTCAATAATGTTTCAAAGACAGTTTCTTGAAAATTGTTCTGTGTAATAATATCTGATGTAAACACTGCAAAGATGGGATCTATGACCGATCACATGCAAGAACCAACCATGAAGGAAGTATGTGTATCTTTCAAGAGAAGTGGTGTGTTTATTGAAGAAACGACTGATCTTGCATATTTTATTACATGAAACCTCTGAAGGAACAAAACACAAGTACTATGCTACTCTTACAACCAACTAGAAGTTGACATTATCTCTCATCATTTCAAAACGATTCAAAGAATTTTTCACAGATTAACCCACCAGACCAGATGTTGTTCTTACTCAATGGTGTGGAGTGAGAGAAGGAAATGAAGGGATAGACTGCAGTATCAGCTTCCGGCCACCGTTTCTCCTTCCGAGGATCGATCCCGAGGAGTCGAGATGAGGAGGAGAGACTCTCTTGCCATTGGGAGAAACCACTGTGATCGTTGCAATGGGGGAACGGGTGAGAATCTCTGGCATATCATCACCATCATCTTCTGTTCCATCCTCTACTATGGTCTCGAAGTTCTTGTCAAACCGAGATTGACTGAACCCGATGTCTGAATTTCCGAAAGACTGACCGTTGAATATACTCGAGGAATATCCAGTTCCAAGAAAAGGCTGAGATGTTGTCCAGTCCTTAGACGGGAAAGGCAGTTGAACCAGTGGTTGTCTGCAATAGAAAAAAAAACACAGCAAGAACATGAACTTAAGCTTCTGTCTTGTATACAAACACTGCAAGAATCAAACTACTGGTTTTCAGATTCTACCTGTACAGTGGCAATGGCGTGGAAGGGAGACCAGAACTCAGGTTCTGCTCTTCTTCTTTGAAGACCTCAGGGTTCTGTAGTGCTTTAGCTGTTCCATTTTTCTCAGTTGTTTCGTTCTCTTCTTCTTGCTCACCTTCCATGCCTGCCATGGAAGACCCTGAGATTGTAGTTACGCCATTTCAGACAAAACAGAAGAATGAAAAATAATACAGATTGGAGAGTGTAATATGTAGAGACAAAGAATGAAGGAGAGAAAGCTTACCGTCTTTACGCCCGAACGCGTTCTTGCATCCTTCACATCTACAGTTTATGGAACAGCCGACACCTCCCTTTAAGATGATTAAATCAAAGTTTCTGAATCAGAGACCATGGAAGATTTCAAAGCAGACACATACAGAATATATGTGTGTGTGTGTGTATCGAGGAGAAGAAAGACCTGATAGCATTCACAGTATTTCTTCAGACAGTTCGATTTCTTGCAGTTGCAGCCTCGCTTATGTCGTGCCGAAGCCGGAGTTTTGCTTGCATCATCCTGTATATATCGACAGAGTTTTTAGCTTTTTTGTACTGATAAATGATCAAACAGAAAAAAATATCAGGAACCTGAGAAAAAAATGTCTCTTACGCCAGCTTCGGATACGGGATCAGAGTTTCTAATGACTTTAGGAGCAAAAGCAAGTGGATTGCGGGATTCGATCTGTTTACGGGTTGCGAGAACAGTATCTTCGTGGATAGGCTTATTGAAGCAATCAACACATGAACAAGGCTCTATGCAATAGACTCCAGCAGCAAAGCATTCACAGTAACTGCAGAAGAAGCATCGAAAGAGAAGTATGATCGATGAGCTCAAACCCGTAAGAAACTTAAAAAAGATTGGATTTTTTAACCGAAGACATCAAGAACAGAGATGAATCTTACAGCTTCAAACACTTTGATTTCTTGCAGTTGCATCGTTTACACGATTCACCCTCCCCACTTCGATCAAACTTTCGCCTGCACATCCAAAATCAATACTGTCATGGTGATCATATCGTATCGTTATACAAAACTCGCCTTTTTTTTTGCTAAAAAAACTTGCCTCTTCTTCTTAGGGCTGCTGCTCAAGTTCAACTCTTCGCTGACCGATGCCTTGGAAACATCATCTACAGCTTGGCTTGCTTCCTCATCCATTTCATTTTCCGCTCGGACAAAGTTTTCTCGGGCGTTTTCTTGTGAGTGAACCAGTGGCAAACTTACTTGTATCTTTCCCGAAAACGAATACTCATGTAAGACGCTGGCTTTTCTGTCCTTTGAGGACATGGTAATGGAATTCAGATGCAGACCTATACTTGGTAATAAACACCTGGAAGATGATTCAGGACCCGGCGTGTTACTGATAGTTTGCTTATGAGAAAGTTCATTCCTCTGTTTCCTTGGCACCTCAAAGTCGAGACAGCGTCTTCTCACACCACGGTGTAGGTTAGGAATAGCCTATAGCCAAAAAACAAGAAAGGGAACCATTTCAGAGACATTGATTGATCAAAAACTGTTAAAACATTTGCATTTGCAGAAACGAAATAAGGGTTTTTCTCTGGAATGTAGTTCTTGAGCTCTCACCTCATGTTCCATGTCTTCTCCATTGCCGGGATTATCATGCATTTTTGGAATAACATCAGCACAGAAACGCTCTACTGAGTTTGATGTTCTCTGCAGCAAACCTGTAAAGGCTTCCGAATCGTTAGGAGAGCTAAATATCAACAGCTCGGTCGCATCTGAGATCAGACTTTCCCAATCGGGAACATCGTTTTTCTTCTGTTCAAGACACATCCTCTGCATATCCATTCCTACAACCTCGGTCGATAAACTGCCTCCTCCTCCTCGAACTTCATTTCCATCTCTGGCACACGGTGAAGGCTTGGGATTGGGAGTGGTTTCACACTTCGGTATCTGCGGCAGCTCCATTTCAAAGTCGTCAGTAGATGGTTCAATGGAAGCTTCTTCTTCTTCTTCTTCTTCCATGGAAGAGTTGGTATGAAAGCTTTCAGGGGCAGAGACAGCTTCTTCATTTGATGCAGACCCATCTCTGGATATTGCCTCGGGCGTTGAAGGATCGGTTGATCGATGATTACTGTGGCGAAAAAAGACAGAGAAGATGAAACATCAAGACAACATCATAATAAACGGAGATAACGCCGAATTTATTACAGAAACAGGATTCAAACCTTCTGAAGAACCGAGATTCTTTGTGAGAAGCGATGTGTGGGGATGTGAAAACCGATGGAGGGGATACGAAACTGAGGGAGCTAAACGTCTGAGCAATGGGGATGGACTTGAATGGCTTAATCGGAGAAAGACTGTTGATGTAGTTGAACACTGGCGAATCCTGCAATTAACTTAAATCATTTCTTGTCAATGTCGTTGTTACACAAATCATTCAAGCAGAGGAAAGTGATGACACTGCAAACGGAAAATATGAACAGGAGATGAGTTTTCAGACAAGAAGACAGTTCAGTGTTTTTCTTTTCCCGAGGAGCAGGAACGTAATGGAAAGGAGGGAGTTACTCTGGAACGGAAAATCACGGGTTTCGGTTAAATCGTAGAAAACGTACGGATTTGGTAATAAATTGAGGATGCAAACGCAGAAAGAAGATAAGGGAACAACTGAAACCGTCAAATCCAATAATCTAATTCGGTTTTCAATGTGCTCTGCCTGAGATTAACCGTCTTGAATTCCAATTATCCGACCGAGAACAAAAAAACTACCAGAACATCTGATTTCTCGACCAAATTCGAGAGTGAGAGAGAGAGAGAGAGAGGGCAAACTGAAAGCTTAGAACTGGAACAGACCGAGGGATTAAAGACGAGAAAGGTTGGATCTTTGGACCAAAATGCAGAAAATTCAGATATACCGAGTGAAGAAACCTTGAGGAAACAGAAAACTCGGTTGAAAATGTGAGACCCGACCAAGAAAACACCGCAATTTCTCAAACTGCATGAACAAAAGACGAACGGAGAGAAGAAAGGATCGGGCTTTGACGAGAACTGAAAATGGGTTTTCAAGAAAGACCTCGAATTTGGATTTAGAAACCGGAGTTCCGATCTGGGTCGTGCTCTTCTGCGGCGTATCCATTTTCCGAAATAAGAAAGAATCACATCCACGTTCTCTCTCTCTCTCTCTCTCTCTCTCTCTCTGTGTGTGAAGAAGATGATATTCAAAGAAGCGAGAAGGCGGGAGATGAGGATTTTCTCGTGGAGATGATAGACCGCAGACCCACCAGACCACACTTGTCTCTCTTTCTGTAGATATGATATCTATATATACACACATACACACACGTATATCTCCTACGTGTATATCTATCTATGTATTTATATGTATATATCTCCCTGTAAAATCTTGGGATGCTTCGCCTTGTCTGTAAAAAAACTGGGAGTAATATACTTCCGAATCCTTGCTTTTAATAAAGTAACGGACACCTTGATTCTTGCTAGTCGCTACATTTTTTTTCTTTTGTTTTTTTTTTCTTTCCCTTTTCTTTCTTTTTTACTTTATTTCTTTGTGTTAACAATAAAATGAATAACTAATTATTAGGGATGATGAGTAGTGAATATTAGGATTAAATATAGCATTATGATCCCATTTACTTTGTGAATTTTTTTATTTGATTATATCGGTAAAATCTCGAATATTTATTCAAATTATTTAAACGAACAAAGGGAAATGTAATACAAATTATATAAAAATAAGCATTCACCAATACATCAAATACAAAAGGAAGTGAAATAGTATGATTTATAGATCAAATAAAATATGAAATACCATCGTATTTCATGTCCATCTCTAATTTGTCTAAAATCTATTTTAAAACCAATAACATTTGTGATGAATGAAATAGATTCTATCATATGAAACATGAAATATCATATATATTATGTAAAACATATCAAATATTTATTTTAAAAATATCATAATTGTTATTCGATTTGATGTGCATGATAATAAAATTTACTATTTCAACTGCTTCAAAAAAAAAACTTAAATCGAATCAAAATAAATAAGAGATGGTAAAACTTATTACTTAATCTTTTTTGTTCAACTGCTTCGTGACATTTTACTTTAGTATATTTTATTTATTTACATATATTTTTGGTTTTAGATTTTACCTACTCTTGGCTCGTATTCATGTTGACTTCGCCTTATTCCTTTAAATTAAAATACCAAACTTATGTTGACTATATCAACAGTCGTTGGTTTTGTCCACCATAAAAAAATAAATTAAATTTTAAAAATGATTGAGCTTGATGTACAAATCGAATTATTTTATGAAACAATCCCACTGTTGTTATGTTCCAGTTAGTGACACAATATTCTTATTTTAGCATTTTTTTTATAACCAGGATGGTTCCGATTTTTAGGTCCAACTATATTCATTCTAGGTCCGGGATCAATTTTTATATATAGATCATTTTGTATATTTAGATGTTTACATCTTCATATCGACCACTCGACCATGATGGGTTTATTTTAGCATTTTTTTTCCATGTCTTATTGAAAAAATGAATTCCGATAAATAAGAAGAAAAAAAAAGAGTAATGGAATTTTCTCGATTAATGTATTGGGAAAAAATATCAGGTTTTTTTCGAGCGAGTACATAATCAACTAGTTAATAAAAAAATCGTGTAATGTCGTAAATAATATTATACGAACATCGATATCTAAAAAAGTAAATAAAAAGAATAAACACGGATTATTAAAAATTCGATGAAAAGGGGAAAAAACATGTTACAAGGCTAAATCAGGGAGATTTGAAGTTAATCAAGAATCGCCACTGAGGATCATGGTAATCACGAGAAAGCACTTATGAGTAATCATGACACTTAATACGATTTAATTGGTCAGTTATTTATGGTAAATAGTGATTAGCTAGGGTTAACTAAACAAATGCTAACGGTAGGAGAAGATCAAGCCTCTGATTGCATGCATGCATGAACATTATTATTATTATTATTATTATTATTATTACAACCTTTTTCTTTACCCTAATATATATATATATATATATATATATATATATATATGACGTATAAAAAATCAGGCATTTAATTTTTTTTTTAAATTAAATGTCCGAATGAACAAAAAAATGAATTCACGTTTCTATTGAATACTGTTGGTGGAATGTTAATAAAATCACGTCCAAATAATATCAAAGATAAGTTATTATTCATTACACCTTCGGTTTTTTTTCTTAGCCAACCATACATATCATACATGTCCTCCCCGTGACGCCATAAAGTTAAAAGGCCCAAAATAAAATATAAAAATTCGACGGTGGGGTTACCTTTGTTCGTACGTATAATTTTTTATAAATTACTATTATACCCATCTCCTTATCCCGGAATGATACTTTTAGAGCATGGGCATTTTCGGGAATAAAAAATTGACAGCTAGACGTTATGTGACCCTTGGGCGGGAAATTTATTCAGAACCACGGAGTTATCAAATACGTTAGGGTTCACCGTATTACGGTGGATTTCGAAAATGACGGTCGAGATTCGAACACGCGGAGACATCTGGATGAAAGAAGACTCGTGTCTCCCTCACAAAACGGCGTCGTATTAATTCGTTGGGATTTTCACATTCTGATGCGACGGTCGAATCATATTTCTTGAAGTGATAACCGCAGTTAAAGAGACAGTGACACGTCAAATGCTGTCGCACACTTCCGTTATTTTTCAAAAATATTTTTATTACAACTATTTTTAAACAAGTTACTAAACCAACTAATAAGCTTTGAAATATTATAGTTTATATTAATAAAACCAACATGGTTTGTTATATACTTTATAAACATGTTTTGTATAAACAATTTGCAAATAGTTAAATAAAAAAATTAATAATCTTAATGAAATTAAGGAATATAAATGGTCCAAGTGGTTCCATATGAATTCTTCTGGCAAAAGGAGCTCCATGCGAAAATCATAGTGTCGACCAAACATGCTTCTCTCTGTCACGTGCCACATGATACGCCACATGACGTAAATCACATAATTGGTTACTATTTTTTTTTTAAAGTTGGTCATAAATTGTTATTAGTATTATTATATATATATATAATTACTTTATTATTTACTAAATCGGGTCTTTGAAATTAGGGATATACTAAAGCTGTGAGATGGTCTTTTTGTGCATGTCAGGTTGCATATTAACAGAATAATTAAAAGGTTATAAAAAGTCATAAAATCTAAATATTTATAATAAGTCAAAGATCCTCTTTCTTTGATATAAATGGCCATAGGAAATGCCGACGTACCAAAGTCATCATTTGGCAACCTTGTGTTTGTACCATGGAATCTTTGCTTCTCTCCTTACCATTTCGATTTTTTTTTTTGTAATCGATTTCCAAATTAATGTGCCAAAACAAGAAATTTGGTATTTTATTAACATATATGAAAATTTTGGTTTTCACATATATTTGTACTTAAAAAATGAGACATTATGCTTTCAGTATGCATAAATAGTTTATTCCAATTTTTTTAAAAATAGTATTTTCTATATTGATAAATATGTTATTTTGCAACAAATATAGTAAAAGTTTTTTTTTCTTTTTGCAACAACTATGTCCACATTTACAATGTTTGAACATGTAGCTATAATATGTTTGAGTGAAATATCTTATTTTATAAAAAATAATTTCGAGATCATTTAAAAAATTTGCAAGATATGATTGGCTACCTCATAAGATAACATAAGTCGCCTTTGAGCATATATTATATGTTCAAATGTTTTGGTGATCTGTATTATATTTAGCTATATATAATGGGACAAAGTATGAAACGACAAGTGTATTTCCTTTTGCAAACATTACTCGTTTGTCCATATCTCTCAAATTTATATGCTTTTTGCATCATTATTGATTGCTTTGTTTGACCTTGGACTTTCCAATTGTAATATATATATATATATATATAAAATTGAAATTGAGGTGTTATAATTTTTTGACTTTTGTACTTATGAAGTATGCTTCAAAAACCAAGGTGAGGTTCTCCTTTTTTTTCCTAATTCTTTCCACGCTATAATATAATATAGACTTTTTCAAATATCATTTTACCAAAAGAAAAATCTCAAAAAAAATATTTAAACTTATCAATTTTTATAAAATAAAATCTGAAATATATAGATGATGATGTGTCAAATATGATCAAAATATTGATTTAACATTTATGATATCAGTATGTCACGTCAATATTTAAGTTTAAAAATGATAACGACTTCAAAGTTTGAGTTTTTTTTTTACTGAAAAATAAAATTAAGATTTTATTTGATAAAAAAATAAAATTTAGATTTTATTTTGTTAAAATTGATATGTTCATATATAGTTTTTTTGGGATTTATTAATGATTAAATATAACTATTATTTTTGCAAAAGCCGAATAGGTATCTGAATTTAGGCTTAATAAGCCCAAGTTGGGAGAAGTGGCCCAATAAATGTTTACTTATTCGTTGTTCGAAGCATTAAATATCAAATTATATGGGCCTTCCGAATTCTCAGCCCACGCATATATACATATACATATATATATAATTCACACATTATTTTATAATGCTAAACTTATTCTATTCGGAGTTTATTAATTTTTAAACATAATTAATAGATATTTATACGGATGAAACTTAGTGGGTTTTGCTTAAAAGAAAAATATTAAATTATTAATCATCATTATCGTGGTTATGAGTACATATTCGGAGGTAATTAATATATAAGAATCAAAGTGTAAAGAAAAATATTACTTTAAAAAAAAAAAAAGAAGAAAGAACTGAAATGTTATCTCCAATTAAAGCATAATAAAAGTGTGGAGAGACAAATCTCAAAATAGATACGGAAAGATGCCACCTTATCTCCCTTTCATTTCACGACAAAACACGAATAACGACATAACTCTCTTACTTATTGAAGGTAACCTAACCTCGTACGTATCGTACACAACCTCAGTTGTTTATTTATTTATTGTTTTTCATAAATTAAATAAAACACTAGAATCAAAGAACAATGAACGAAAAAAAGAGAGTATATTTCAAGCACGTATACAGAATGATATTTATCTACAACGTATTAGGTTAAAGTAAATCTTGAAATGTATGATTTGAATAGAAATATGGAAAATAAGATCTAGGAAAAAATAAAGATAAGTGAACCAAATTATGGACCATGAAAGAGTGGACGATTTCAGTATTTGGTTCGGTTTTGGGTCGAGAATGGTTAGGTTTGGTTTTTTTCGATTTTACAAAATAGTTATCAATTGATTATTATACTATATTCGGTTCGATGTTGGATTCTATAAAAAAAAATTGATTTTTTAGATTTTTTTAAAATTTATCTCGGGTTTGAAAAAAATAATTTTATAAAATTAATATCGTTTAAAAATTTTGAATAAAAAAATATAATATTTTTCGTTTCGATATAATTCGATTCCTAAAAACGAAACAAAATGTCAACCAAACCCGTTCTAAGTAGTACATAGTACGATCTATGTACCTTAAGAGTTTCATTTATTATAAGAATCTCCCCACCAAACATTCTGTACGGAAAAGTCCATGCACGCATGGTATTTCGCAAAAAAAAAAAGTGAAAATTGGTAAAAAAAAAAAAAAAGAAAAAAAAAAGAAAGGGGAAAATGTCTACAAATTTGGTGAAATATTAATTTTATGGGTGCACACATTATCAATGCAATTTAAGGCAGATTATGCATAATCTGATTAAAATGGATATCGAATTAGAATGTAGAATATAGTTTGTCTGCTAATATTAAACACATATATGCATTCGTAATTATTTAATAATTATAAAACAGTTGAAGTGAGTTTTTAGTCAAACGTAACAAATAAAAATGGCAAAACTTTTCACTTATTTCTCATCTAAATTTGACCAAGAATTACAAGAACAAATATGGCAAAAAAATATTATTCTGTGGATTTTATAATTCCATACGGGGTGTATATAGGGTGTCAATTTTGGTTTGAATTTCGAAGTCGACCCGGTCCGACTCTAAAAATAACAAGTTTTGGATAAAAACTCAAAAAAATTTGGATTTTCAGATCAGGTTTCGAGTAGACTCGATCTATTTGAATTGTTTTTTAAAAAAAAATCAAAGAACATTTTTAGTGGTTTGTAGGGGTGGCCAATTTGGATTTCGGTTCGGGTTCGGTTCGGTTATATTCGGGTTCGGTTATTTCGGTTATAGAAAAACTATAACCATTCGGTTTTTATATAAATTCCAGTTCGGTTCGGTTCGGTTATTTTTCGGTTCGGGTTCGGTTCGGTTTTGGTACAAAGTTCAATTTTCCAAAGAAAATGTCGGTTATTCTCTCGGTTTTTCGGTTATTTTTTATTCGGTTCGGTTCTGTTCGGTTTCGGTTTCGGTTTTTCGGGTTTAAGTAAATCATAACCGTTCGGTTTTGATGTCGGATTCGGTTTGGATACGGTTATGTCTTATTCGGTTCGGTTCGACTCGGTTATTCGGTTAATAACCGAAATGGCCACCCCTAGTGGTTTGGTCGGATCCAAACCTAAACCCAAATCGGATTTGATAATTTAGATTCGAAAAAAATTGGACCGACCCGAACTCGAAACCCAGCGCGGGCCGGACCGGCCGAATTGACCAGTTTTTTATATATTTCCACGTAAAAGTCATCCTTAAAACCAGCCTGATTTTGCAACTGGAAACAGCCATTTCCTCCGCCCTCCGCTCTCTTCCTTTCTTCGGTTCTCAGGTCTTTCCATTCATCATCACACAAATAAAGCAAAATCTTGGGAGAAAGTTCGCTGTTTTCTGGGTGGAATCTCGCTCCATTCGCCGCGAAATCCAATACCCGCCGTTAGCATCTCCGCTCGTGTGCTGATTATATATGATCTTCGAGGATCTTGCGTGGATTTCTCCGTCCTCTGCTGTTTCTGGGTCGATTCTGGAATCTCGTGCTTTGCTCCGATGATAATGGTGGGCGGCGAGTCCTTTTCTTAGGGTTTACTTCTCTCTTTTTTTCTTTTCATATTCGAATCATCGTCTTCTTCCCCAGTTTGGTTGGGATTGGGATTCCTATTATTGGATGGGAGTTTCATCTTTGCCAAATTTCCTATCGGTGGAGATAGAGGAAAAAAAGTCGTGATTTTTCATCTGTGTAGAGTCTGTGTTTCTGCACTTTTTGTAGGGTTGGGGAAATAGTTTTCATTTTTCCATGTAAATCGAAAACCCCTTGATTTCATAAAAGCGAATATTTCTCGGAAAAGACAGAAACTTTGATTCAGAATGTAAGAATGGACTTCTGGGTTTTGAAACTTGTCTGGTGAACTCTCCGTTTCTGCTCGAGTTCACTCTGATTGAAGCAGGTCTCTCTCTCTCTCTCTCTCTCTCTCTCTCTCTCTCTCTCTCTCTCTCTCTCTCTCTTTGTGGAAAAAAGATGGATCGAAAACCAGGAGAAGAAGAGGAAGCTGGTGGTGTGAAACCACCGAACCGAACAGGGAAAACGGAGGGAATTCAAAGCGGTGAAGCGGGTAATAATCCAAGAGGGAAAGCTGTCGACAACAACAGCGAGAAAGAGATGATCTTTAGGGCGGACAAGATCGATCTGAAGAGCTTGGACATGCAGCTGGAGAAACATCTGAGTAGGGTTTGGTCGAGGAACATTGAGAATAACCAGAGGCCTAAAGAGGAATGGGAGATCGATCTGGCCAAGTTGGAGATGAGACACGTCATCGCTCGTGGCGCCTACGGCACTGTCTACAGAGGCTTCTACGATAACCAAGAAGTTGCCGGTAAATCATAAACTCCGTCAAACCCTTTTCTTGTTTCAGGTTAATGGATTCATCAACTCTGAAATCATGTTGCTTTTGTCTGGTTTTCTGCTATATATATATATATATGTATGTAGTGAAAGTGCTTGATTGGGGAGAAGATGGTTACGCCACGGATGCAGAGACAGCAGCTCTTAGGGATTCGTTCTGCCAAGAGGTCGCTGTCTGGCACAAACTCGACCACCCTAATGTCACTAAGGTTTATATCAAAGATCCTTTCACTTTTGTTCTTTCAGTTCTTCTTCCGAATCAGTTTTAAAAATCTCTGAAACTCGTCGAATGTAACAGTTTGTCGGGGCGTCGATGGGAACTAGGAATCTGAAGATACCTTCGTCGGACGAGCAATCATTGCCCGCCCGAGCGTGTTGCGTCGTTGTCGAGTATCTTCCCGGTGGAACTCTTAAACAGTTTCTGATCCGTAACAGACGCAAGAAACTTGCTTACAAGCTCGTCATCCAACTAGCTCTCGATCTCTCCCGAGGGTAAAATCTTCATCTGTGGTTCTCTTGAAGGAATCGCGGTTTTGTGATAAACCCCGAATCTCAATATCTTTCCGGGGGTTTTGTCCGCTATTGATCCTGGCAGGCTAAGCTATCTGCATTCGAAGAAGATCGTTCATCGTGACGTGAAGACGGAGAATATGCTTCTGGACAATAGTAGGAACCTGAAAATAGCCGATTTCGGAGTTGCTCGTGTGGAAGCTCAGAATCCAAAGGACATGACTGGTGAAACTGGCACTCTTGGTTACATGGCTCCTGAGGTAATGACAGAAAATTTTCCCTCGCTTTCTCTCTGTTTTCCCCAGTTTCTTTCTCTCCAAACACTTTTTCCGGCAGAGTCCTGATGGTGAACTCTTTCTGTGTTCAGGTTCTGGACGGGAAGCCCTACAACAGAAGATGCGACGTTTACAGCTTCGGGATATGCCTTTGGGAAATCTACTGCTGTGACATGCCTTATGCTGATCTTAGCTTCGTCCATGTCTCTTCCGCCGTTGTCCGACAGGTCATTTTACAGATTCCGCAACTTTCTTCGCTTGCAAAAATCTAAAAATCCGAAGTTTTTCCTTTCTGGGTATCGAAAATCGAACCCTCTTTTGGTGATTTCCGATGAAACCCGAATCGAAAGCCTGAAACTTTTTTTTGTGTTTGTTTGCTGGTGAGAGACAGAACCTGAGACCAGATATTCCAAGATGCTGTCCGACGGCATTAGCCAACATCATGAAGAGGTGTTGGGACGGAAAACCGGAGAAGAGACCGGACATGGAAGAGGTGGTTCGGATGCTGGAAGGTCTCGATACCACAAAAGGCGGCGGTATGATCCCCGACGATCAGATCTCCGGCTGCTTCTGCTTCGCCGCCTCTCACGGCCCCTGAATTTCCCTTTTTTACCCCTCCTCTCTTCTGTTTCTTGTTCCTCAAGAAACTTTTGGGATTCTCTTAAAAAATTGAATTGTGTGAGTTTGATGATAAGTTTCATCTGTGTTGGTTTATTGTTCGACCGCATTATCTGATCTGATGACATCCCTTTACTCAATGGATAGAGCCCAAAATTTTATTTCAATGTTTAATTTGTAATTTTTGCACGAATTTCTTTCAATGCTTAATTCTTTTAAAAATAATTAGAACTTTCTTGCACACCCCCAAAAGTAAAAAACTATACTTGTAAAAAATTATTTTTTTTTTAATGAAATTTGGGTATATTTATCAAAAGGGGTGGTACATAATCCAAGATCCACAAATCAAGCTTATGCTAAAGAACCCTTACAAGGAAATACATACATAACCAATCAGATCATATAACTACGTTTCTCGATCAAGAGATAGGGAGTACCACTTCTGGAGGAGGGTGTTGCTTTCACAGTCGCGTTCCTATTGGAGCGATAATAGAGTGCTTTGGACAGAGCGGTCCAATCGTCTTCGGAGCATTTGGGTATTTGCTGCAGTGTTTTTGAAGATTCTGGCATTGCGTTCCTTCCAAATTTCATATAGAGAATGTTGGATTAGTACCTTTAGGAGTGTTATTCGCCATGCATTTTCAGCTCCCATGATGCGCCTAGCCAAGTCTGGCAAGATGAGAATTCCACCGGAGGGTTAGGCCAAATCTTCCCCACAAGAGGTAACCATATTTTCGAGCTATAGGAACAATCGTAGAATAGATGATTGTGCAATTCCTCTCCCTGATTACATAGCACATAAGTGATAACCTGTATCCTATTCCACCTCAGCAATCTATCCTTCATAGGCAGCCTTTCTTGGATTGCCACCCATTGCATGAACGAGTACCTCGGGATTGCTTGCTTAAACCAGACAAGGTTCCACCACCGAACTTGTGGGGATGTACATCGAATTTGCTTCCATGTCTTCGAGCTGCAGAACTCAAATCCAAAGGAATTATCATTTTCCTTCCATACATACCTGTCAGCAGTGTCGCGGGTGTTGGGATCGGAATCCTCATGAGTTCAACATGCAGATCCTGGATCCGTTGCGTTCTAGCCCCCGGCAAGTCCCATCTTCCATCACGAGTTGCATCTATTACCTTTGCATGGATGGGTATGCGCAGCAGTCTCGGTCCATGCTCCCCGATGTACTCAATGAGTGGTCCTAACTCGGTCCAGTGATCAAGACAGAAGTATGTAGTTTGTCCATCGCCCAACTTACTGCGAATAAAACCTCTCACCTTATCTTTCATCTTATCTTTCATCTTGATCAACTTCCACATATTCCATGATATGGCTGCCGAAGGTTTGGCAGTCCAGTAGGCTCCTTGTAAAAACTAATTTGTTTCACGTAACTCAACTCATTTTAATTAAGCAATACTAAATTTAAAAAGATATAGTAATATTTGAAAGGAAAATTAAAAAAAAAACATACTGGAAACTTTTCAATTTTGAAAAAAAAAATATTAAACTTTTGATTTTGTCAAATAAACATTAAACTTTTTAAATTTATAAAAAAAATACTTTCAACTCTTTTACGATTGTCAAAATAAACAAATAAACTGACATAACTTAACAAAATGCAACACGTCAAATTGTTGTAGTTGAATTTTTTTTTACAATTATATATAATTCATATATTTTTTTAAACACAATTAAAAAAGTTCAATATCAATTAAAAAATTTAATATTTATTTGATAAAAATACAAATGTGATATTTTTTCTTTGTAAAGTTTAATATATTTTTTTTGGATTTTTTAAAATTTTTTTTAACCTAGGTAATAGTATAACTCTGAAGTTGAAGTGGGGGAATTACAAAAATGACTTTAAATGTCATTTTTACTTCATGGCATGACCTCCCTTCTTTTTTAAAAAAAACTAAAATCATCTCATAACCTTATAATTGTATCCTTCCAAAAATACCCTTCCTTTTTTATTTAATATTTTAATTTTAAAAAATATTTCAACTCTCTCTCTCTCCTCTTCCACCTCTCTCTCTCCATTCGCATATGTGGAATAAACTACAGTCTCTCTTCTTATCCATTCTATAATCTTCCAACACTCTTTACTTCCAATCTATTTTTCAGCTAATTTATTGTGAAAAGACAATATTAAGTTTGAGCATTTTATCGATTAAATACAAATCTAAATAATAGGTAAATATTGTTTCTAAAATACGTTATTAAATTTGTTGTGAAAAAACAATATTAAGTTTGAGCATTTCATCAACAATACCATGATTCAAGTTATTATAACTGATCGAAATCGTTAAATATGTGAAATTCATCAAAATGGAAGAATTCGGAAAACTGGTCATACATATGTGTCAGAATGGTCAAATTGGTCGTACTTCTAACTGGTCATACTTGTCAAATTGGTCAAAATGATTATTCTCACAAAATTGGTAACGCTGGTCATAATCATCAAAGTGGTCAAACTGATCATACTCATTAAATTTATTATATGATATGATTATTACTATGTTAACATTTTTAAAACGATGAATTATGCAATTTTAAACAAGTCTGACCATTTGGGTACGAAAAAAATGCCTAAATTAAATTTAAACGATTCAAAAAGGTGTATAGGGGTTATAAGAATATTATTACATCATTTTGGAGTTCTAATTTCACGTGAAAAAAAATCTCCCGAGACCAGTCAATTGTATCAAATGTGTTATACAAACACTACTAGTACTTTAGGTCTTCTTTGGAAGGAGTTACATTGTCAAACAAAAAATGTGTCTAAATTAAATTTAAACGATTTGAAAAGTTGTATAGGGGTTATAAAAATACTAATGCATCGTTTTGGAGTTCTAATTTCATGTGTAAAAAAAAAATCTTCTAACAAAAGTCAATTGTATCTAATGTATTACACAAACACTACTAGTACTTTAGTTCTTCTTTGGAAGGAATTCTATTGTCAAACAAAAAATGTGGTCAATCCATATTGCTACGACAGATTTGAACCTGAAAAATTTGTGATATGATATGATTATTACTATGTTAATACTTTTAAAACGATGAATTATGCAATTTCGAACAAATCTGACCGTCTGACCAAGGTATGACCGTCTGATCGTATGACCGTCTGACCATTTGGATACGAAAAAGAAATGTCTAAATTAAATTTAAACGATTTGAAAAGTTGTATAGGGGTTATAAAAATACTACTGCATCGTTTTGGAGTTCTAATTTCATGTGTAAAAAAAAAATCTTCTAACAAAAGTCAATTGTATCTAATGTATTACACAAACACTACTAGTACTTTAGTTCTTCTTTGGAATGAGTTACATTGTCAAACAAAAAATGTGGTCAATCCATATTGTTACGACCGAGTTTGAACTTAAACAATTTGTGATATGATATAATTATCACTATGTTAACATTTTTAAAACGATGAATTATGCAATTTCGAACAAGTCTGGCCGTCTGACCAAGGTATGACCGTCTGATTGTATGACCGTCTGACCATTTGGGTACGAAAAAGAAAGGTCTAAATTAAATTTAAACGATTTGAAAAGTTGTATAGGGGTTATAAAAATACTACTGCATCGTTTTGGAGTTCTAATTTCATGTGTAAAAAAAAATCTTCCAACATAAGTCAATTGTATCCTATGTATTACACAAACACTACTAGTACTTTAGTTCTTCTTTGGAAGGAATTCTATTGTCAAACAAAAAATGTGGTCAATCCATATTGCTACGACAGATTTGAACCTGAAAAATTTGTGATATGATATGATTATTACTATGTTAATACTTTTAAAACGATGAATTATGCAATTTCGAACAAATCTGACCGTCTGACCAAGGTATGACCGTCTGATTGTATGACCGTCTGACCATTTGGGTACGAAAAAGAAAGGTCTAAATTAAATTTAAACGATTTGAAAAGTTGTATAGGGGTTATAAAAATACTACTGCATCGTTTTGGAGTTCTAATTTCATGTGTAAAAAAAATATCTTCCAACATAAGTCAATTGTATCCTATGTATTACACAAACACTACTAGTACTTTAGTTCTTCTTTGGAAGGAATTCTATTGTCAAACAAAAAATGTGGTCAATCCATATTGTTACGACCGAGTTTGAACTTAAACAATTTGTGATATGATATAATTATCACTATGTTAACATTTTTAAAACGATGAATTATGCAATTTCGAACAAGTCTGACCGTCTGACTATGGTATGACCGTCTGACCGTATGACCGTCTGACCATTTGGGTACGAAAAAGAAAGGTTTAAATTAAATTTAAACGATTTGAAAAGTTGTATAGGGGTTCTAAAAATAATTTTGCATCATTTTGGAGTTCTAATTTCATGTGTAAAAAAAAATCTTCCAACATAAGTCAATTGTATCTAATGTATTATACAAACACTACTATTACTTTAGGACTTATTTGGAAGGAGTTACATTATTGATGATATCATTGTTCTTGAAACCATGAGCAAAATCGGATCGGTTTGACCGGTGTGGTATTTCGGTAGCCAAAATTTCTCTCAGGATTTTCATCAAACACTTTCCATACATTCTCAAAATCTTCAACTTTGGTGTGCCATATCTCGTTATAAAGGAAAAATTTGACGAGTGTAAGCTTAAATGATATTGTTCCTTCGAATCGAATCGAAGTGAAACCCTAATAAGCTAAAATTCTATATAAGAAGAACATGTTTGATCAACACTTTTAAATTCGTAAATTCATCATTTTTGAAAAAGTATGACTAGTCTGACCAGTATAACCTTATGACCAGACTGATGATATGATCGGTATGACCAAAGGTTGACCGTCTGATTGTCTCACTAAAGTATCATCGGTTTGACCAAAGTTTGACCGTCTGACCGATTTGTTATATTAGATTATTATTATACCATAATAACACTTTTTTAAAATGATAAATTCATCAATTTTCAATAAGTTTGACTGTCTGACCAAATTCTGATTGTATGACCAATGTCTGACCGTCTTATCAAAGTGTGACCGGTATGACTATTTTTCACACGAAAAGTAAAGGTCTAAATTAACTTTAAACGATTCAAAAAGTTGTATAAGAGTTATAAGAATATATTTTTTATCGTTTTGGTGATCTAATTCCATGTATAAAAAAAATCTCTTAACATAAGTTATCTTCACCCAAAGTGTGACCGGCTAACCAAATTGTGACCTCTGACCAAAATCTGATCGGTATGACCAAAGTCTGACCGATATGACTAGTATGACGTGTTAAGAGCTAAATTTTCTCTGAGGATTTTTATCGAACACTTTCCATGCATTCTCAAATTCTTCAACTTTGGAACGTCGGATCTTGTCATAGTAGAGAAATATGTCGAGTGTAAGACAAAAATTAAGAAATTTTTTGTTAGAATCGCCAAGAAATATCTTTGGAGAGAAAAAGAAAAAAAAATTTACGTTTTGAATTTTTAGAAAAAGTGAGAGAAGAAATTTTCGAAGTTTTTTTCACTATATAGATAGAAGGTTGCCACGTATTCAATTTTTTAAGGGTAAACTAGTCTTTTCGTTGTTTTAGTTTTTTTTTAAAAAACCCTAAACCTAGAAGGTCATCCCTTGAAGTAAGAAACGACATTTGAGGTTATTTCTGCAATTTTCCCAGTTGAAGTTGAATTCTGCTCTGAAACTGAACAATATCTTCCAATGGGTAAAAATCTCTTTACATAATTGTACTCTCAAGTTCTCAACAACAACAACAACAACCACCCTCAAGATCTATGTTTTTAAAAAAAAAATCTTCTGAAAAGTATTCAAGAACTCAAAATTTGAGCTTCAAGAAATGAAAGCTGGCCTCAAGAATCCTTACTCATAATCATCAAAATTTTGTTGTAGCAGCCATGCATGACGTCTCCTTCATCTTGGTCTTGGTACTTGGTAGCATCCTCCATCTCCATGCATGTCTTCAGCACAGTGATCCTCGTCATTTACCAAACCCTAATGATTTTAATTAACCATGATCTCTAAACACAATGCAATTCAGAGTAAGATGAACTATACCAAAACCACAACTAGGTTTTGATACCGATTCTACAAGACGAGATGCTTTCGAGCACGTTTCCTGGCGTTCATAATTTCAACCAAGGAGGGGAGCGGCCGTGGAACAGGGGCATTCATCGATCTGTACAGCTTTCTCAGATTCTTGCTCAGATTCTTGCACGGAGAAAATCCCTTCCAACTCTCTTTTCCCGAGTCAGCCGTTGAGTTTTCTGCATCATCACGGTCATCGTTTACTTCCTCAAATGAAGGTTCTACTCCATCTCGTCTTTCATTGGTAACATCTTGTAAAGGCTCGACTACTTCCTTCATGTTCAACCTTGAAACTGTGTATTCATCATATCTGTTGGTTATGGTTCTCTTCTCGTTTGAACGATCAGATTCTTCTAACCCGAGCCTCGCTCTCCCAAAAAGTGTAACGGGTAGACTTTTGTCAGTGGACAAACTCAAGCGCTTCTTCATGCTAGAAGATTCTATTACAGGTTCCAGCTGGGAATTTGAATAATCCTGCTGGCTATGTTCTTCTATCATGGGACAACAACTGACAGGTGAGGAACATTGCACATCGATGTCTAGAAGCAACCACAAAGGATCATCTGGACCTAGTCGACTGACCAAACAATTTTTTCTCACATAGTCCAACTCCATTGCTCTGCAAAATGGAGTTGTTGACACCACCCATTTCGGGGAAAGAAGTTGCAAGGCTGATTCCAGTTCTTCTTGAGACGAGTGAATGGAGTAGCACACATGCCATATACCAAACTCATCCCTCAAAGCTTCATTAAATCTGTCTCTTCTCCGTTTTGGACTCTGGCTTCTGTGTTTAGGAGATTCATCCTCATCACAAACAAACCACTGAGCAGAAGGGCGGATAATAATGGGTTCAGGCTGAAGATTGTATCTAGCCTCAGCAAGTTTTGCACTAGCCCTCTCACACAATTTAGGGAAGCCATCAAATATGTGGAACCGGGAAGATGGATCTTCAGACACAATTTCAGGATGTGTAACCATTAGTGATCTGAAACAGTGGTGGTTGGTAGCTTTATCAACGTAAATCTTGGTACCAAATGTTCTGTAAACTTCTACGAGTACATCTTCCTGACCCAGAAGATCACAAGCAAGATAGACAATTGGCGCATCTGGGTGTCTCCATATGCAATTGATGATCTGAATAATAATGAATATAAATTAGTAAGGATCTGCAACGAAATGGAGTCAGTTGACAAAGAATAACACAATAAAGCAAATCAGCATGCATGAACAAAAAGCTTAAGGACAATGAAGATAATGCAGTATCATCCGAAACAGGGCTACCTGTCTAATCGCTGAATGCTTGCTTGGAAACCCTCGAGAGAATTTCCCAAATGTACAGTCGAGAAAAATGTAATCAAGACAACATTGCGGTGCCTTGCCTTGTCTTCCCACGTATCTCTCAGGCAAGGTCTGTAGGCACTCCGAGGTTAGTCTACAATCACCAGTGTGAAGTATATTACCAAAATTGCCTTCAAATAAGAACATGACAGCTCCTGAAATTACGAGAGATTTCATGACAGATCAGACAACATGATCCTAGCCTAGCCTTTTAGGGAACACCTCATACTTCAAACAAGAATCCAGAAAATGATCTGCTAAGGCAACTCTTATATAGCCTGCAGCATCTTTTAGAGTATATATCTCAATCTATGAGATTATTCTACACATAAAATCAGACAGATAATCCTCTCAAGCTAATATAAAATTCAGAAGAAGAGCAAATTGTAGATTCGTGCAAAATTATAGCTCGAAAATAATATTGCAGACACCGAATTACTGGACAAGAACTTGATAAATTCCAGGATAAACATCAAATTTTCGCAAATCGAAAAACAAACCAACGAATTAAGAAGGAAACAATTACACAGTAGGAGTACCAGGACAATGGTTCGCATCAAAAGCGGTGACTTTAAATTTTCCATCAGGATCATCGATGCACGCCGATTGCCCAACCTCGACGCTCACAAACAAAGACGCATCAAGCTGCACAAACCCAGAAGCGAGAAAACAATTTGAACTAAGAAACTTTGACGAATTGAGTCAAAAGGGCACGAACAGAAGGCGAGATTGATAAAACCTAAACCTTAGGATGTCGTTGAAGAAGAAGAGAAATGGTGAGCGAGGTTGAGTAGATCGGGAAAACGGCGTTGGCGACAGAAATTCCGGCGGTGTGGTCCGTGTGGGCATGAGTCAAGAAATGATGCCTCTTCCTCTTCTTCGTCGTGTACGGTCCAAAGGTGTCGACGGAGAAGGGCAACCCTCTTGGCATCTCTATCGGCATCTTCGCCGTCGGTGTCCGCCGAACCGCGACGGCGGTGGTGAATTAGAGGGTTTTTGGTCCGACCGATGGTGATGGTGGATTCGAACGGTTTGTCCAATCGATGACGGTGAGGCTAGGGTTTGGATTTGGCGGGCATGCCGCAAATTACAATTACGGGTTTTTTACCCAGATAACCCAGTTGCGTCGCATTACACCACCGAAAACATAATACATTTTTTTCCTGCGAAAAGACGAAATTACCCTTAATGAATTACGATATTTATCCGTTCAAAACCAACTTCGTTATTACGACTTCGTAATTAAGTCTAAATATAGTTACAATTGATTCTAAAAAAGGTGGCAAAAAATCATCTGTCTTATTTTTAGTTGTATATCAGTTATATGTTAGTCGTAATAAAGTCGCAAAAAATAAAACGAAAAGGGTATTTCAAACTTTTCCCACCGAAAAGTGGGTTAAAATTGAAAAAAAAAAAAATTTGGGGTGGTGTACACTGAAATAGATACGACCCAAGTGGGTTATTTGGGTGATTTTCCCAATTACAGGGGAAGAGAAGAGCAAGAGAATTTTCATTATATTTAAAAATATTTTTTTTGCGAAAATAAGTGCATAAATGTTACAATAAACATGTATAGATTGGGAAAGGAAAAATTCTGTAAATCGAATTTTAAAATAAAAAAATTCTTCAGAGCGAAGAATGGTAAAAAAACATGAATCTTTGTAGAACTGGTAAAAATATTTAATTTGACTGATATTGTTTTTTATTTTGGGTTTTTTACTTTAATTTTTGGTTTTTGATTTTTAGTTTTTGGTTTTTGTCTTTTGGATTTTATAAGTTTGTAAATTTAGAAAAATATGGTTTTTAGTTTTTAGTTGATTTTTTTATCAAATAGATTTACGGATTTTTAGAAAAACCAAATTAAAAAAAATTTATTTGTCGGTTTTTTGTTTTTTGAAATCTAAAAACTGTGAAAACTCTCTGCATTCAACACCTTAATCTTTCTAAATTTTTATGATAAATTAAAAATATATGTAAATGTTTATTTATTATTTTTTGCATGATTTTATTTCATTATTTAATTCCTTACAAAAAAAATAAAATTTTCTTGTACACCTCCAAAAAGTAAAAACCATGCTTGTAAAAACTAATTTATTTCACGTAAATCATTTCAATTAAACAATAATAAATTTTAAAAGGTATTGTAATATTTTTTCAGCCTAGGTAATAGTATAATTCAGAAGTTGAAGTTAGTTAAGATCCGATAATAAACCTAAGTTTATAGAAAAATGTTTAGAATGTTCAAAAATTGAATTTATGTTATTAGTATATTTAAAAGAATTAAGAATTTCATTATAAAAAAAAAGAATTAAGAATTTAAAATTCTAACATATATATTTTCGAAGCTATAAAAACGGAGAGGAATGGGACGTATAATCTAGACGTCGAAGAGGCCATATTCATGCGATCGATAATTTCAGAGGTTGAATTCAAAGCCGTGTCAAATATTAATTACTGTTACATAAAGCATTTTTTTACATTAATATATAACCTTTATATGAAATGTCTATGATATTATCAAACAGTTTAATTTTCAATTTTAAATATTAAAATTTAATAGTATAATTTATGATATTGTCATATTTTTACAATTTATTTGATAAAACATATATTAATCCATAATTTAAATAATAAGTATTTATAATAAACATAATCGTTTGTTGGAATATTATGGAATGTGGAATCCATATTTGAATTGAGTAGACACGACTTTATATTCATTTCGTCAACCATTATCACGTACAAACAGAAATTGCTGAATATAGACAAATATATAATCCACATTCCAATATTAATTAAAATCATGAAAACAAAATTATGTTTAGTTAATGCTGTCTGATTTTCAAATTTTGTTAGTGTTTAGGGAAAATGTATGTAGGCAAAATACTTTAGCTTATAAATATATAAGATGCATTAATTTTGTAAAATTCATGTATGAAATAAAATTTTATTCGAATATATTCTTATTTGACGAGTTCAAATCATGTAGAATATGACATTTCCTATAGTTATATGTACATCTAGATATTATTTCGCCATTAATATCTATATTTTATATGTATCTTTTTCTTTAGATAGAAAATTGATTTTAATAATGAGTTTAAGTAACGTACGGCTTTCCATCCATATAAGTATAAGAGAAGATATATGAAACAGGAACGTAAGATGTAATAATCTATTTTTTGCCAACCAGAAATGGGTTTATAAGCAATGCGTAAATATAATACTAATAATCAAGATATGATAAAATAAATTAAAATTTTAAAAAAAAATTGATCGATGCGAGTCATTGACGACGTGGCAAATGAATTGGATGGGTCATGAACCACACGGCAAGAAACCGAGCTGGTTTCTGTCTGATCTGCACTTTGCACATTATCCGAAATTATTTTCTCCTTTATTTCTCACATTTTATACAAATCCAATAAAAAAGGTTAATTAACCTTTGAGTTATGAAATCCATAATCAAAGAACTTCCACAGCCATATCATTAGTTATATATAAAAAATATATAAACTTCGCTTGATTTTATTTTAGTTTTTTTTTTATAAATTTATCTGAATTTTGTGAAGATTTCATGTGTATTTTAATTTTGTAATTTTTAAAAATATTCCCATTGCAAAGTCTGTCCAAAAAGTCTTATTAACAAAACTTAAGGGTATAAGGTAGGCACAGATCGAATATCCCATTTTTAAACAAATCTGATCTCGGTTTGATCACCACGGTTTTTATAAAAATATTATCTTTGGTTTTATGAGATAATCTCGAATTCGGATTCAATGATATTCGTAGTCTCGGAATATTCAAACTCATATATATAATTCAAATCTTCTATAATTTATAAAATTTAATAAAAAATAATTTAAATAATATTCAAAACTCGATTTCATAAATTATAAAGGTTGAGAAGATAAAAAAATAATTAAATAAAATAAAAGTATTTTAATAAATAATAAAAATACTTTATATAAATGTTATAAGTATAAAGGTATTTTGAATTTTTAATAAATATATCGGATAGCAGGATATCCGTTACGAGATCATTGAAATTTGAATCCAGATTCGAGATAAAAAAACTCAGTCTCGTTAAACTTGATCTCATCATCGTTAATATTCAGATACCCTTCTCCGGATACTTGTTAAACTGGATATCCTAAACCCATACATGGGCGGACCTACACGTATATGAGTGGGAGCACTTGCCTCCATCCATATTAAAAAATTAATAATAATAATTCTTATAATTTTTATTTAAATTGTAATAATATCCCCACTAAAATTTAAGTGGTGTCCCTCTTTTTTTTTTTTTACTATAAATCTTATTTTCAATTTTTTTCTTCTATCAATTTCACATTTTCTTTCATTTTTTAAAATTTTTTCCAACTCCAAAATTCTATTTAATCTTTGATAAAAAAAATTATAAATTTATATAATCAAATCCAAAAAACTAAAAAGTAACAAAAAAAAATAGGTAAGTATTATGAATTTGATTTTAAATATTTTTTTATGTTTTATTCATTTGTTTTTATATTTTTATCATATTAATAAATTTATTTTTATATAAATCTCATGTTTGATTTAACCAATTGATAAATTTCTTAAAAAAAAATTATAGGTTCAAAAATTTAATGATCTATTTGACGAGATAAATTCAAAATTGCTCATTTATAAGTAGTTTTGAGTCTTGTTAAGTCATTACGCGAGTTTAACATGTTAAATTTGATGAAATTGGTTGGATTTTATTCTGATAACTTCAATTCTTCAGAGTAAATATTTCTTCAACATGATTTCAATATCTACATCAGCAATTTGATGAAAGATGATAAATTTTCAAATTTGACTAATCTTCTACATCTTACTAGTGGAAACAAAGAAATATATTTCGTATTCATTAGTATACAGACTTTTGTAATTGGCTTTGATTTTGTTCGTTCCGTTGTCATCGCAACTGTTAAAAAATATTTAAACTTTGTAAACACAACTTTGCATAGTCGGATTGGTGATCAATTTTTGAGTAATTATCTAATTTTTTTATCGAAAAAATATATTTTAAACAGTTATAAAATGAAGTTATGGATAGATTTCAAAAAATAAAAAATCGTAAAATTTATTTGTAAAATAAAATATATTTTTGTGATGATATATTTTTATTAGTTTTTATATTTTATATAATATTTAAAATTATTGCTCCCGTTAAAAAAATTTTTTGGGTCCACCGGGTTAAAACGCCCTCCCCTCCCCTAGTATACAGGTAATATCAGCTTATAAAAAGCACTGATCTTCACCCTAAACAAACATCATTATATCACGAAGAAAATCCAAAACACACGCATATTACCCTCTCTCTCTATATATATAATTTTCGTTTATACGTACGTATAAATTAAAAGAAGAGATGGGATCTCCAGTGAGAGACGAAACGGCGCCGTCTAAGGTGATGACGGAGTTCTTGGAGAGGTGCGGCGGTTGTGCGGTGGTTGACGGCGGATTCGCGACGGAGCTCGAACGTCACGGCGCTGATCTCGACGACCCTCTTTGGAGCGCCAAATGCCTCCTTAGTTCTCCTCACCTCGTTAGAAAGGTATTTTATTATTATTTAGAGAAAAGTATTGCCACAGTAATACTAAATCTATCGAACTAAGAAAAATGAAATATGAAATGAACAAATCTGTTAAAGAATTTGTAACTTTACTTTGATAAAAACTTGACTGATATTAAAATTGACTTGTGGAATTGACGTTAACAACTTTACCGGCGATTAATATTCAGGGGTTTTTTTTTTGAAAATTAAAAAAATTCAGTATTTTATTTGTCATATTTGATAATTTTCTGTTTTTTTTAAGATTTCCGGAATTTTTTTAAAAAAATTTAGGAGTGAATGATTTGGAAATTGATGAACTCTTTACTAGTTTGGGGTCATGAAAAAAAAAATATTTTTTTGAAGAAATGATGATTAGATATTTTGTGTATTCTTGTCGTTCCTAATTTTAGGGATTATTCTTCGTACAAAGCGTTAATGTTTTCTTCTATTTGAATATTCATCGTTTGCAATATACGGTGTATCTTTATACCAAAAAAAATATACGGTGTATCTGTTATTGCGTTTGAATAAAAGTTTCGACTCATTTGCAATAAAAATATTTTATTTTAGTGCACTAAAATGCCACGTCATACTCGGTTTTGGTTCGCGTCTAGCAACGTGTCAAGCCGCCGCATTTATGGAACTCAAAGACTTCAGATATCTTGTCGCTTGCTGATATTACAATATTACCCTCTGTTTTGGCCAAAAAACGGCTCTTTTTATTTATTTTATATGCGTTATATAAATATGAAAAATAAAAAATATCATAATATTATACAAGAGAACAACATGAAGAATATGTACAATAAAATAGGTGCATTTGGATTACCTTGAAGCTGGTGCAAACATCATTATAACCGCATCGTACCAGGTGATTAACTTGATTAATCTTCTTAATTAATCCCATAATCGTTTTTAAAAATTCCAAAAAAATAAATAAAAATAAAAATAATGGTAAACGTTGCAGGCGACGATCCAAGGGTTCATGGCGAAAGGGTTGTCGGAGGGAGAAGCAGAAGCACTGCTGAGGAGGAGCGTGGAGATCACGTGCGAGGCACGTGAAATCTTCTACGACAGGAGCACCAAAGGCTCGTGGGACTTCACCGACACCGCCGGAAAATATTCCCGGCGACCGGTTCTGGTCGCCGCCTCCGTTGGTAGCTACGGAGCTTATCTCTCCGATGGTTCCGAATACAGGTTTCATATATTTTTAACTCTTTTTGAAAATTTATTAGGATCTCTTTATGAAATAATCTGCTAAAATTTATCAGTTTAGTGCTAAACACTATGTGGGTACCTAATTGAAGAAATGAAAAATATGGTGACAAATCTATGAGAGCAGAGAACTTTTGGGGCGATTTTGTAAATATCGACTCTTGTTGTTTTTCTGCAGTGGAAGATATGGAGACAATGTGACCAAGACAACGTTGAAGGACTTTCATAGAAGAAGAGTTCAAATCTTAGCCAAATCAGGAGCCGATCTAATCGCTTTCGAAACTATCCCGAATAAGCTCGAAGCCGAGGTATCATTATTCATCATCAATGGATACAACCGATATATATATTATTAGATCGTTACATGGGATTCTTAAACCTTGCCCTAGGCTTATTCCGAGCTTCTTGAAGAGGAAGGCATCGATATCCCGGCCTGGTTTTCGTTCGCTTCCTCGGACGGGGCCACCGTTTCTTGCAGCGATTGTATCTCCGAGTGTGCTAAAGTCGCGGATTCTTGCAAGAACGTCGTGGCTGTCGGAATCAACTGCACTGCTCCAAGACATATCCTTGATTTGATACTGTCTGTAGGCAAGGTAACATTACGAAGAAACAGTCTCGAACTAGGGTAAATTCGGATGACTTGCGGCTTAAGCAACCGTTTTTTTTTTCAGGTGACTGACAAACCCATCATCGTGTATCCGAACAGTGGAGAGATCTACGATGGCGCGAGCAAGAAATGGATGGTGAGGTGACTGGTTCTTGTTCATTTAGATGAAACCCTAATGTTGTTATTACATGTAAAGAATTTTGGTTTCTGGTAAATTTTAGAAATCGAACGGAGAAACAGAAGAAGATTTCGTGTCGTACGTTGGGAGGTGGAGAGAAGGAGGAGCATCGTTGTTCGGAGGCTGTTGTCGGACAACTCCCAACACTGTCAGGGCCATTTCGAAGATTCTCTCCGGCGAATCTCCGGTCACTTCCAAAACCAGATTCCTGCGGTAGAATCTTCTCTTTATCCGCTCCGGTTAAATCCGGTTTAGACCCGGTCTAGAGAGATGAAGAAAGTGTTGTAATAGCACTGATCCTATATTGGAATCAAGCTAATAAATTGTGGAAGTCTTTTACAGAACATTTACATTGCGTGATGATGGTTCTCTGTCTTAATGTATAATTGTATTAATATTGAAGTTTCTCTGATTAGATTTTATGGGGTTTTAAGTTGAATTATATGAATTTCTTGTAAGATAACCGAACCAGAACCGGGTTACTGAAAGAGTAAACCGATATTGACAAAAAAACCGAAGGAATGGACATGAGAGTTACTAAACCGAACCGGTTAACGCAAACTAGCTTCCTTCCTCTTGCCATGGAAGCTAAACCGACGGAAACTCGCTTGTTTTTTCCGGTGAACAAGTAGCGAAGTGGCCAACAATGGCGAATTCGAGCGTCCTTCATATTATTCCCCAAGTATTAGCTACCGCGAGCTTGAGTCCTGTCCTCTCTAGTACAACAGAAAACGCCATGGCTATGGCGACAACCCATTCGTCGTCGTCTCCGACTGGGTCCTTGAAGAACTTCAAAAGCTTGGATGAACTCAGGACCTTTCATTGTTCCTTGATGAAACAAGGTTTTGCTAAGGATGTTTCACCTATCTCCAAGCTTATAGCCCGTAGTTGTGAAATGGGCACTCGTGAAAGCTTGAGCTTTGCCCGAAAGGTGTTCGATTTCTTAGAGGATGAAGACGAAACGTGCGGCTCTTCTTTCATCTACAATTCCTTGATTAAGGGATACACATCTGCTGGGATATGCAAGGAAGCCATCTCGCTTCTTGCTCGAATGGTAATGGCGGGAATTTCTCCCGACAAGTACACGTTTCCGATTGGGTTGAATGCTTGTGTGAAGAGTAGGGCGTATACTGAAGGGATTCAGATTCACGGGTTGGTCGCGAAGATGGGTTATGCTAGAGATCTGTTCGTGCAGAATTCATTGATTCATTTCTACGCAGAGTGCGGAGAGGTCGACTACGCGCGGAAGGTGTTTGATAAAATGACCGAAAAAAACGTTGTCTCGTGGACCAGCATGATCTGTGGTTACTCTAGAAGGGATCTCGCCATGGAAGCCGTCAGTTTGTTCTTCGAGATGGTAAGTAATGGTGCAATGCCTAATACGGTCACTATGGTGTGCGTGATATCTGCTTGTGCGAAGCTGGAGGATGTCGAAACGGGCGAGAAAGTTTGTGCCTTTATCCGTGAGGCAGGTGTTGAGATGAACGACCTTATGGAGAATGCTCTTGTCGATATGTACATGAAATGTGGTGATAATGATGGAGCAAATCGGCTTTTTGTCGATTGTGTGAGTAAAAGTGTGGATTTATGCAACACTATGATGTCAAATTATGTACGACAAGGATTGGCAATGGAGGCATTAGTTATCTTGGGTCAAATGATGGGATGGGATATTCGTCCAGACAGGATTACAATATTAAGTGCGTTATCAGCGTGTTCGCAACTGAGGAATAAACGTTGAAGGACGAAAGAGTTGTCACGGATACATACTGAGGCATGGCCTTGAAGGTTGGGGCAACATATGCAATGCTTTGATTGATATGTACATGAAATGTAGCAAGCAAGAAACTGCGGTTAGTATCTTTGGTCGGATGCCGAACAAGACAGTGGTCTCATGGAACTCGATAGTTGCGGGTTATGCAGAGAATGGTGATTTGGATTCAGCTTGGGAGACATTCATAAACATGCCAGAGACCAATATCGTTTCTTGGAACACGATCATCAGTGCTATGGTTCAAGAAAGCATGTTCGAGGAAGCGGTTGAGCTTTTCCGGGTAATGCAGAAGGAGGGGGTCAACCCAGACAGAGTGACAATGGTAAGTGTTGCATCTGCATGTGGTTATTTAGGAGCTCTCAATCTTGGAAAGTGGATTTCAGCAGGATGTCAGACTTTGTACAACCTTAGTCGATATGTTCGCTAGGTGTGGTGATCCTGAAAGCGCGATGTGGGTTTTCAACGAGATGACCAAGAGAGATGTCTCGGCTTGGACTGCTGCCATAGGGGCGATGGCCATGTCAGGAAATGCAGGACGAGCATTAGATCTTTATAACGGGATGATTGAACGAGGGTTGAAGCCAGATGGGGTAGTGTTTGTTGGAGTATTAGCAGCTTGTAGTCATGGCGGTTTGGTCCAACAAGGTCGGGAAATTTTCAATTCGATGGAGAAAGTTCATGGAGTTTCTCCACAAATTGTGCATTATGGATGCATGGTCGATCTTCTTGGTCGTGCTGGATTGTTGGATGAAGCTATGGATCTCATAAAGTCCATGCCAGTGGAGCCTAACGATGTTATTTGGAGCTCTCTTTTAGCAGCTTGTCGTGTTCACAAGAATGTCGAGATTGCAGCTTACACAGCTGAAAGGATAAAAGGGTTGGCCCGAGAGAGAACCGGAGTTCATGTTCTTCTGTCAAACGTGTATGCATCCGCTGGAAGGTGGAATGATGTAGCGAAAGTGAGGCTTCATCTGAAAGAGAAAGGACAACGTAAATTACCCGGATCGAGTTTACTAGAGCTCTGTGGTAAAATTCACGAATTTACCTCAGGCGATGAGTCACACCCCGAGATGCCTCGAATGGAGGCCATGCTAGAGGAAATGAGCCAAAGAGCAAGAGACATGGGTTATGTACCAGATCTTGACAATGTTCTGCTCGATGTAGATGAGCAAGAGAAGGAATTTCTGCTCAGCCGCCACAGCGAGAAACTGGCTATGGCCTTCGGGCTCATCAGCTCGAGTGAAGGGACAGCAATCCGAGTTGTCAAGAACCTAAGGATATGCTCCGATTGCCACTCATTCGCAAAGTTGACATCCAAAGTGTACAACCGAGAAATCGTTCTCAGAGACAATAACCGGTTTCACTTCTTCCGCCATGGGCAATGTTCCTGTGGTGACTTTTGGTGATTCAGAAATAGACATATACCCCTCCCTCAGCACACCTGTGATTCATTAACCTTACTTCAAGATACATCATAAACATTCATCCATTACCCGAGTTTTTACACATGGACCCAGCAAAAGCTACATCAGATCCTCAGCCTTCAGAGAACAAGAAAAAGGTAAAACAAGGATCCATCATGTAAGTCCTTACAACTTAGGATAAATCGGGTCGATAAAGGCATGATACATGGGATCTGATTGCCATAGGTTCACAAAGCAATGATATGATGAGGTGCTCCGATGAATTTCTTCAACAAGCCAGATGGCTGCTTCGGCTTTTGAAGGATGGATTACAGTGTCCAAAGCCTGGCGTTCAGCCTCAGACCCGAAGCTTGATCGATCCCACTGGTGCAGTAGAATGTTTGTGAGATAATGCAAAGGCTGACCATACAGTTGTTTGATAGAGTCTCCTAATCCGACCCACGTGGTGAAAGGAATAAGCGAGCCACGGTTTGTAGGAATCGGGATTTGTTTCATGTATTCTTGGTACATTTCCGCTCTTCTATACAGTGCACCTGTTCCTCATCATCACCATTTTGCCTTCTGATCAGACTTAATGAATGAAGATATGCAGCATTGTAATATATAGACAAAGAACTGGCAAAATGCCTGTGTTTCAGACAAATCAACAAGAGACAAAAATACCTTCAGGACTGATGTTTATGTTCTGCTCTTGCTTCTGTTCATCACTGACATCATCTGAAGATATCACATCAATTTCTGCAGCACCAGGCGTTTCCTCTTCCATACTGAACATTGTCTGGTCCTGGAGACGAGTAATCACAATTGAGATCAAAGCATATATATATATAGAGAGAGAGAGATGTGTGTATATAAACATTTTGCAGAGAGAAGATGAAGTTGAGTGTACAAGAGAAAGGAAACAACTTTCATGTGAATTGAATCTGATGCTGTATACCCTTCAAATAAAGGTTCTCTTTTATATATATATATATAAAAAGCTAAATCCTCCCCTGCAGTCTTGAACAAAAATCACAAGTCCAAAACTTGACACTGTATTCACAGATTTTTCCTCCAAAACCAGGCAAGAAACTTCCGTTGGATTCCCGAGAAACAAACAGAAAACAAACAACGACCCAGATCCAAAAACCGCGTTTGTTCTTCAATCTCTTGACCAAAGAAGCGAAGAAATCAGAATCAAATGGCGGCATTGCATGGTGAGTTCCTCCATGATTCAAGCAGGAAATTTTATCAACAAATCAAACAAAACACCAAGGAAACTGAAGGAATCCACGTAGATTTACTCGAGTAGGAAAAGATGAAGAAGAAAAAGACTTCACCTTTTTTTTAGGTCAGAAAGTAGGTAACTTTTTAATCTTTTCCTCTGGCCTCGGCTTTGAAGTTTCTTTAGGACTCTTCTCATATTTTAGGAAATAAATCGGAGTGTTAAAAAAAAAAAAAACCGCCCAAAACTTTCCAGATGTGGGCTGAATCCAAACACAAACCCGACTCGACCCGAACCAAACCGACCCGATCGTACCGTCCGATGAAATAACCCGTGCAAAGCACGTGTTCAAAACGGTGTTTGGAAAAATATGACCGAGAACTACAATATATTTGAGAAGGCGAACTAACATTTAAGTAGACATTTTTTTGCTTTGGATACTTAGTATCAAAAAGTGTCGTGCAGTACGAAAGTAATTGTCATCGATACAACATCTCTACAAACAACATATAGAGGATGCTTGATAGATATTAGATAATACCGTCCAAGATAGTAATCGATATCTATATCCCATAACTTGGGTTAGTTGATACGGATAAAATGATGATTTTTTGTGTTGGTTTATAATGAAGTTGGCAAAAGTGATCATACTATAATTTATTTTGTGTGATTTTAGTATGATTTTATATGTAGATTCTTAAAAGTTATTCAATATGTGAAAAATAGTGTTAAACCTGAGAAATGAGTTAGATCTTATTTACCCTAAGAAAAATATAACATTTTGACGACTGATGCAGAATCGATTAATTCAGAATTAAGTAAAGTAAAGACATTACCTTTTCTCTGTCTTTTGCTACTTCTTTATTTACTCCTTTCTCTTTTTCTTTCTCTATACTCTCTTCACTTGATTCGTCTACTTTTCCTTTCTCTTGTTCTTCTGATTCTTCATTCTCAACCACTTTCTCAACCACTTCCGTCTGAACCAAACTATCAAAAACATCTGTGGCCAACGTCTTCAGGTCACTCTCAACCACTTTCTCAGGCTTATTTGATTTATTCACATAATTAAAATACTCATCAATCGAGTCACAAGGATCATCTCGTGGTGATCTCGTATGTCCACTCTCTCGTTTAGGTTCTCTTGTTACCGAAACAGTTGTCACTGCGTTTATACCATCCGCAACCACTTTCTTCATTTCTTCCAACAACTTTTTTTGTGTGTCCACTTCTTTACTCAAATATTCAATCTTCTCCTTCAAATGATTAACTTCGAACTTTAACTCTTTTATAGATTCACTATCTCTTCTTACTTCAACACCATCGCCTTTTGCTCCGGCCCCTTCTTCTTCGTCTTGGTCTTCTTCTTCTTCTTCGTCTTCGTCGTCTTCTTCTTCTTCCTCAGTTATTTTTCTCTTTTCTTTACTCGTTTTTCCTCTTTTCTTTTTTGGAGTTTTGACCGAAACAATTGCTTTTCTTTTATTCTGCTTCTTCATCATCGGAACTATGGTTCGTGATTTCACATCATCTTCAAGGATGTCCTTCCAACGCACACATTTTGGATCCTTTTGCAAATGATCTATCCAACTATCAATCATCTCATCAACGTTGTCTTCATATTCTACACTTTCAATCAGATGTAATTCATCCTCCGTTGGCATTAGAATGCTGTCAATGTTCTGCAACAAATACTCAAATATATCAATCATTATGTATTATGACTTGTTGTCTGCAACTCATATTAACTAATTTCAATACGACCTCCTATACAAATTATATTCAGAAAAAACTTGTGTACCTGTGTTCTTCCCATTTTCGCTAATCCTTGTTTTATCCCATATTTTTTGTTTGGGATGAAACATCTTCTGCACATCCGCGGACAAGTTCGAAGGATATTTCCTTCCAATTTTATGTCATTATACCATCCATGTTGTCGGAGTTTTGGAATACACTCGAACGGTAACATCTGCAATTTAAAAGACACAATATTAAAAATATATTTTTTATTATTTATTCACTACTATTCTTTTTTTATTTATTTATATCACTTACCGTTAGCGGAATTATAAAACCAGGAAGGTTCCACTGGCTAACTGGCGTTCTATGCCCGTTTAGGTAATTGTGAACAAAACCAACAACATTCTCGAAAGTAAACCTCCCCCATGGAAATGCTTCGCAAGCCTTCAAATCGTTAACAATCTTCAACAAAAACGGATTAATATAATCGGTGTGATGATGTCCAATTACATAGCTCAACAAGATGAGATAAGCCATCTTCAACCTATCTTCTGTTTCACTTTTAGACAATTCTATAAACCGTCTCATAACTTCCATCCTCAAAACTTTTTCATACTTTTCCTTGCCAAAGTGTTTTATATAGAAGTCGAGTCCACCAATCTTCTCCCAATTCTTTGGTAATGCAGAACAATTTAGGCCTGATAGAAGGGCATGTTCCCACAAAGAGTACCGAATTGGAACTCCATTAATTATGAACCATAACTCATTATCTTTTTTCGTCTTCACTGCTCTGTTTACGAGTGCCACCATTAAAATCATCTTCAACGTTTGCTTCTTTTTCATATGGAATATATGTCTTAGTGGGGACTTTTGTGATAAATAGATAATCTCTCGAGCAGTCAAATGTTTTTCCAAAAACTCCACAGCTTCAATGTGTAAACACTTTGACGATACTTTTACCGATATCTTGTTTATATCATCAAACTCAAAATAAAATTCCGGTTTCACTGTTTCACCAATCTGCAATAAAAACGAATCGATTCAACTATAGATATCATAATATATTACTAAATTATCAATTTACCACTCTCTTGTTTATGTGACCAGTTCATTAAGACTATTTTACGACTTGTTCTTTACGACTAGTTTATAATCCTCAGTTTCTCAACTACGCCCACCTGCACCTAAATTTGAATTATTTTACTTTACTTTCAACTTTTCATCAACCAAAAACCGAAACTGAAAACCTAAATCCAAACTCCTACAAAACTTAAACAAGACTAAAAATTCTTACATCTTCTTTCGAAGCAGAAGCAGTTCTGAAAAACTTCCTTGGATCCCCTTTTTCGGATGGCCTCGACGAAGATTTCTTCTTCCGACTTGAACCCTCTTTATCTTTCGATGAAGATACCGTATTCATCTTCTGGTGGTTTAAGGTTTTCAGTGGTTTAGGATTTCGATCGAAAACTGTGATTTTCGATGGTTTAAAGTTTCATGGTCGATTTCTATGGCTTCTCCTCTCCTCTTTCGTTTTCCCTCTACTCTCCCAAATTTGTGTTTGCCCTAAGTTTGTTTTGGGTTTCGAGTGAAGCGAGTAAAAAGACCTAGGCGTGTAAATTTTCCCACATTCCAATTCACCAAGGGTGTTATCGTCTTTTCCTTCTTAATTTTTTTTAAGGGTCCAGTAGATATTTAATAAATTTTCTTTTTTTTTTTGGTACAGGGAAACTCCTCTCCGACTGGGTCATCTATGGTGTTTTCCAGAACAAGCTTCAAATCCTCGAACTCAAAGCGGAGAATTCTCCTTCAGTGTCAGTAGGATCGAACCTTCCTGTATCTCTGTCTGAATTCAATAAAAAAAGAATGCAGAGTAAGCTTCGTGTCAGCAAGCTTGTCTCTTTTTTCTCACCCAAAAGATTCTGCGAACGGCGGTTTCTGATGCCCAGCAACGCTCTGTCCGTGGCGGCTGAGTCTCCGGTCCCCGTTGACTCGTCCGACTCGGCCGAGTCTCCGGAGCTGCCGTCTTGGGTAACAGACTTCCTCGCGAACCGATCTTCTGCAACCGCGGTCTCGGAAGATGAAGACTTTGTGATCCCTTCGCTCGCCAGCTGGGTCGAAAGCCAGAGGCTTGAAGATGGACGAAGTCCGTGGCAAGTCGCCGGGGAAAAACCCGTATCAGATACCGATAAAGTCGGGGAATTTCTGAAGAAGATGTATCCATTCACTGATGATTACGTCGAAGAGCTAAAAGGGTGTGATGTGGTTGTATCGGATGATTTGGTTTCGCAGGTTTTGAGGAGGTTTAGCAATGAATGGGTTCGAGCATATGGGTTTTTCACTTGGGCAAAATCACAAACGGGTTATAGGCATTCACCAGAAACATACAACGCCATGGTTGATGTCCTGGGGAAGTGCAGAAAGTTCGATTTGATGTGGGAATTAGTCGAAGAGATGAATTCAGAGGCCGGATTCATCACACTCGACACCATGATCAAGGTTATGAGGAGATTGGCGAAAGCTAGGCAATACAGTGAAGCTATTCAGGCTTTTCAAGGAATGGAGAGATATGGCGTGATGAAGAACACCAAAGCTCTGAACCTTTTGATGGATACACTTGTGAAGGAGAACAGCGTAGAGCATGCTAACGAAGCTTTTCTCGAGCTTAACGATTCATTCCCGCCGAATGTAGCTACATTCAACATTTTGATTCACGGTTATTGTAAAGCTAGGAAATTTGATGATGCTCGGAGGATGATGGACGAGATGAGGAAACACGGGTTTCTCCCGGATGAAGTCTCCTACACAAGTTTTGTCGAAGGGTATTGCCGGGAGAAAGATTTTAGGAGAGTGTATGAAATCTTGGAAGAAATGCAAGAGAATGGGTGTAGATCTAATTCTGTAACTTACACAATTGTGATGCATGCTTTAGGCAAAGCTAAGCAAGTAGGAGAGGCATTAGGGATATACGAGAGGATGAAACAAGAGGGATGTGTCCTAGATGCTATGTTCTATAGCTCGTTGATACATATCCTGTCCAAAACTGGCAGGTTTAAGGATGCAACTGAAATATTCGAAGACATGACAAAACAAGGAGTTCCTCGAGAGGTTTTGACCTACAATACGATGATTACTGCTGCTTGTGATCACTCCCAAGAAGAGATGGCTATAGGTTTGCTTAAACGGATGGGGGAAGAATCATGCGGACCAGACATAGACACTTATGCTCCATTGCTGAAAATGTGTTGTCAGAAGAAGAGGGTGAAGCTGTTGAGGCTTCTGCTGCATCACATGGTGAAAAACAATGTCAGTATCGGTGTTGCTACTTATATTCTCCTTATCAGAGGGCTGTGTAGAAGCGGAAAGCTTGCAGAAGCTTGTTCCTTCTTTGAGGAGGCAGTGTTGAAAGGAATGGTTCCTAGAGACAGCACCTGCAGAATGCTGTTGGAGGAGCTTGAGAGGAAAGGTATGACAGAAGACAAAAGCAAGATTCAGACTTTGATGTCTCAATTGAAAGTGACGGTGGATTAACCAGACGAGAGAGATTGTATCTCTGTTAAGTTTTTTGAATGAGAAAATTTATTGCCAGAATTGAAAGCAATTGTGGCAACTTGATGAATGGTTTGACTTTCATTTGTTGATGAAGCAAAGTACATAAATTGTAACTTTTGATTTGTGATTTTGCTTAACAGAGCTGGAAATTTCCTCCTGGTTTCTGACAAAAGATTGCTACTTTGACTCTTTCTATCATCTGTGTAGAATGGTGAACTAAAGAACCAACCAATGACCAAACTGGTGAAATAACACATGGAGATGCATCTCAGAGACGCCGTTCAGACAACAATGTGGAGGCAGTACGAGAACGTAATTTTCTTACAACTTTCTGAACTCCTTGAACCTCCAAGAACTGCTCGATCAGCCTGTAGATTCATTGTTTATAAATCAGAACAAACAAAAAAAAACAAAAGAAAAAGAGCTCTTCTAAGAATGCAGCGGAAAATGCAGTTTGCAGATACTTACAAGCTGCAGATTGCCTTCTGAGAGGCTGCAAGTTCGCTATCAGGGAAAGAATCTTGAAGTCGGAAACTTAACCACACGTAAAGATCCAAAACCTGCTTGACAGTAGAGAAGGATACAACAAAACAGAAGAAAATTTCAGATTCAAGTTAAATGTAGGTACTAGAATTACTCCATTTGCTCGGTAATGGCTAATTATCGCTTAGGAGGCCATTGCGTTGTAAATATATCTTTTACATATTTCATATCTGGTTCCGGATCTATATAATGTGATTCAGTTCAGTTGCCATAGCATCAACTTCCATAGAAATCTGGTTAAGTTTTGATTCTTGATTCAAAGAAAAGATCACGAGAAGAGCCACAAAGTGGTAACCTTCTGTCACTAACTATACATAGGAGAAGCAAGATCTAACCTTGTGAACGGATTCGAGATCCTTGAGCTCTGTTTGTGTTCTGGGAGTCTGAAGCTTGTCCGGCGTAAATATTTCGCGGAGCCTTACGATGCCTTTCTTCGAATAGTTCTGAGCAAACTGTCAAAAAGCAAAAGTCAGCATCAGAGATTCTTATGAACACTGACCATGTCTGATGTCTGAACAACAAGATACAACTTCTCTTTTACCTGTGTAAGTCCCTGAGATGAAATTTGGTCGTTCATATCAACAGGACTGCATACATATAGTAAACTTTGGTCACTCTTGAGTGTCTATTTGATATTCTCAAATAGTGAGTATAAAAAAAGATGATTATTCACTGATCTTTCTGTTGTGAACTTGTGATGAGTTACCTGATGACGAAAAGGTACTTCTCTTGCAGCCCAAGCGGTAATTCATCAACAAGAGTGGCAACTTTCTGAATCAGTACACGCAAAGATGATCTTAGATTCAAGATTCAAGACACCCATTTGACCAAAAACTTTTGGCTAGAAGCTATGATGGGAACAGGTAATAACTAAACTAACCAGCATTTCCTCAACATTGGCAATGAAATAGTTAGAAGACAACTTAGAGTTTTCGGCGAAATGTTCCTGTGGAAAGTAATGGACAATAATCAGATGAGAGCCAAACAATTAAGAAGATTCAGGATAATAAAACAATCCAGTATATTTTACCAATATCTGGTACAACCCATGTTCAGGATGTGCAAGTGAATATCTAGACAAGAGATCAAACGTAGGAAACAGTCCGGCCCGCTGCATAATAAACACCACCTGAGATTAGAAAACCCAGGAAAGATGCATCCAATATCCATATGTGAGAGCAACTGTGATAAAAGAGGATCTACCACTAGCATCTTCTGTTATGTTATCCAGCAGAATTACCTCGAGGAGAGGTGAAGGCGACTTCAGAGACGAGTGGAGCAGTGGGAGATCATCCCTCCTTAAACAAGTAACTTCACCAACAGGGAACTTCGATCCGTACCTGCCAGCTCTCCCTAGAACAAGATCGATCAGAACAACAACAATACGCCTAAATTTTTTTGAAATTTAATCGGGTATCGATGATAAAGTACCTGCAATCTGTTTGATCTCAGATACCGTTAGGTCCCTCCACTCGGTACCATCATACTTCTCGAGGGTTGAGAATATGATCCTTGAAATGTTCAAATTAAGACCCATCCCAATCGCATCGCTGGCAACAAGTACATCGAACTCACTGGTTTCATCATTAAACCTTGTTGCCTGCAGTCCTAAGCAACACATTAATATTGCAGAAAATGATTTGCAAGGGGGAAACACAAACAAATGCTTAGACACCCACTAAAATCTTGAAACAGAATAACAGAGAGGGTTGATGTTATATTCTAGAACATTGCCAAGTAACACGGGCCAGTAAGGAACTCATACCTGTCTTGTACGAGTCTCTGGAGGCAGTGAACCATAAACTACAGAGCAAAGATGCTTCCCGCCGCTTTCAATTCTTTTCTACCAGAAAGTACAGAAAACGAAAGCATGATAAGTCATCGTGACATATTAATCGGAAAGCACAACGTGAATGCTCTTGTGGGCAAGTATAACTAAGGAATCAGATTCAATGGCAAATTTGAAACCTTTTTTTGGTTTCCCTTTTGTATCCTTTCAGCTAAAGAAAAGTCAAGCAGACAAACAAGAGATATCGGAAGT